AAAAATGACTTTAGTCAATCCCCACCTTCTTACATACTGCCCCTTTATTAGGCAACGGCTATGCTGCGAATTTGTGGCTGTGAATGACCACTCAGCGACTGAGCGCCTTCCTAATGCAAAACTGTCTTTTTTCATTCATTCAAGGACGCTTTTTAGGGTGGCACAAAAAACCCCAACTTCAGTCGAGTCCGGAATGTGCAAACGGTTTCCCTTTAGCGCGCACGAATTGTATGACACACATGGTGTGTCACGCCAAATCTTACACAGAAAAAGGCCGCGGTCACACGTTAATGGCACACGAAATAGGCGTCGGTTCAGAACATGTCTATGCCAAAGAATCCGATCAGATGAATTCGTGACGTGAACTCACCTAGCCTCTCCTCAGCCATTATGATTTCTCTGAAAAAAGCAAATAAAATCTTCGCAAATGTTTATTAGAAGGGAAGCAGTTATCGGCAAGTTCTTTAATACAATGAATTAAACCAGTAAGTGGGTGACACCGGTTTAATGAAGTGCAAGTACGATGGCAAACATTAGGCAATGTTCAACTGAGTAACCTCTATTGTATGATTTGCACTACAAATTCTACAACCAAGAAGAGATGAACCTATTAATGACATTGCTGCAGGTAACAAGCAGTAGGGACCTAAAGCTTTACAGATGAGGGTTTAGGAATGGTCACGTTGGAGACTTGAATATTGAATATCTAATAAAACAGAAGAGAGTATGACCTCATGTAGTCCTGCATAAATGTAAGTAGATGACAAGATCGATAGAGAAAACTCGGTAATAAAACTAATCAAATGCCCAATAAAAGTGGAAGAAACATGGAAAACAACTCTAACAACTGGAAACCACCGCGAATGAACAACGTATCACCACTGTCTGCGAAGTTTCCTGCATGACTGTGCACATATTGATGTCTACTTCGATCACAACGTCACTAATTGATCCTAATGCGAGATAAAGGGTCACGACAGTACAAAATAAGATCAGCTACACGGAGGTTACAAATCCGAAAATAATGTTGAAGACTACTACTTTATGAAAGTGTCAAATGCTCTGTATTTTCTGATGACTAGACGTGAAAATCACGCGTTCCAGTAAATAGCCAAAACGAGCTATTCGAGCTGGCCAATGGGTGCATTCTGGAGCCACAGCGAATGCAAAAAATCATATAACTTCTCCGATACCGATACCTGATATAACAGATCACTACTGAGAGCAGAATTGGAAACCTTGCGTGTATTTCAGCAGATCTACGCTGCGATGACGTAATCAAAGGGGTGTCACAGGCGCGGCATTCGCACCAGGACTTGATTGATTCAATGTATAAGCTGTGTTAACTAGGTTGTGAGATAACTCTACTCTTTACTAGATGTGCGTCCACGCAGCGTACATCTCTTGGAACACACCTCAAAACGACGAACCTTGTAAGGAGTTGGATTGAGGTAACGCCGATGATCCTTCCGCAAATTACTCAACGAATTATCCACGCGAGTCTGCAATCATAGTAAAAATCCACGTCAAAGATTACAATTATTACGATCTTGTGAACAAACGCGTGGTCTTCAGCGCCCCTAGCGCGCGCTATCCCTCCCTCAAACCATGGTAACCTTATGTTAGGCGTACAATGATAGATACAACACCTTCTCTACTACCCCTTGATAACTCTGGTCTTCGTCGCTGTAAGCCTCAGTCTTGGTTAGGCCTTGGGAAACAGAAGTGCGTCCGAGTGCCCCCCCCCCTCCGCCCCATTGGCACCCGATCTCAGAGTTCGGAAACAGACGAACCCTTGTTTCATGCGCTTCAGTGATAAGCGGTTGAGCACGAGGATCCGATTTCTCAGTGACGAACAAAAATATGACTCCGCTTGCGTTCCACCGCTATTCACAGAATCGCCTGACTCGCGCATACAAGCGATAGTGCGACCCAAATGATCGTGCGATCGCCGACGCTGTGAATTCTTAAAAAAAAACTAAAGGCAACCTTGATAGCTGCCAGATCCGGCAGCTCTTTGACAATTCTGCCATCGCTCCAGAACACTTCGTGAAGAGGTTCGACTCGACTCGCCACAACTAGAGCTCTTTTTGATTCCTGAACAACAGATAAAAATGTTCAGAGGCTAGTCAAGATCAACTTATTCTCTTTAAGGCAGCGCGCCACGTCCACCTGATGTTCCTACGCCCTCCTTAGATATGGTAGCTTTTGTCGTCAAGGGTGGAGGATGTACTAATTTCGCAGCTCAAAAATACTAGAGGATGGCGCCACCCGCTTGCGAAAGAGGATGCCGCCCTGCCCACCTGGCTGCCATAACTTTGGCTTAGCCTCTGAAGGCTGAGCCCGCTTTCACGGATAATGAGTAAAGGAGCTCATATAAGACTGATCCAGCAGGTGAGGGATGAAAGGAGAAGAAATCGACGGGAAATGCCGATCATTTAACATATGCTGATCATGTGGGCGGAGCGGCCCCGACTCTTCCATTAGCAAAACGGCGGCCTATCGCTCTTCGCTTTTTGAGAATGGGAAACTGGGATTTTAGGGTACACAGTGCATCCTCATGGGGAGGGCTATGACATCCAGAGGGGCTGCGGGAACATCAAATGGATGAGGGCGCTGCCTCCCATCCAATCGCAGGCCGGGACCACGTCCAGCAGTGATGGCTACAAAATGGGAGAATGGTGTGTGAGGTGACAGAATACACCTTTCAGCAGAAAAGCAAAGCGATATCACTTTAGAGGCGCTGTTCAGTGAAGACAACTTCCATTATTCGCAAGAACTTTTCCGAAGACAGTCCTCGCCATAAGCAAGAAGAACAGGCAGTTGTACAAGTGTAACACTTTTGTCACTTGAGAGCGCGCGAAAATGAGGCGGAAGTGTACTGATACCAGGGTGCCGTTTCCCGACCCTGTACGCGCTATCCGCACTTGCGTCGATACTGAAATCCCGCAGCGAACTCGCAACCAGAACAGAACCACCAGAGAGAGAGGGGGTGCAAATAAGTAGCGTTCGGCTATTGTTACTCGCTATGATCGCTGCGATCGCGCTCCAGTCGCGAAGCAAGAACGCTGCCTTGGCCTGGGCGGCCGTGCGGCAGTACGGGCTGAGTGGGAGAACGGGACTTGGGCATCAATACCCTCCAGCCCCGTATCCGTTCCTTTTCGAGTGTAGAAAGAAGGTCTGCAGCTGCGCACCACGGAAATAATTGTACAATTTGTCTTCAATCTGCTGCTTCCATAGTCAAGGAAAGCACGCAAAAAGTGTTAATAAAATTATTTCTCGTTATTTATTACGGTGCTGTAAGGTTACCATTAACCTTAATGAGTGACTCGGCTCACAATCGAACTACATTAATGAGAATTCGGTGAAACGAGCAGGAAAACAAAAGCGGACCTCGAAGGGGTGACGACACAGAATCTGCTTATTCGCCTGCGGTTCTGGCTCCTCCTCCAACACCATCAAATCCAGTATAGCGTAACCAGTTTTTCCATACAGGCGGAAACATTTTTTCCGACCAGGAATCGTGATTTTTGACACCTCTTGGCTCAGCTTGATTTTCGGATGTCCTGATAGCGCGACCAACTATAATTTGCACTTTTACATTGAGAGCAATGCAGCAGAAGGTATGTGGCAAGGTTTCACGCATGAACAGCTCACCTTATAGACACAACCAAGTGCTGGTTGTTTCTGGCAGGTGACAAGATGTGTTCCGACTCCGAATGCATCGATTTCATGCTGGAAAACTGTGTTTATAAACATTTCTGCAGTACTGACAACTACAGTGGCTCAAAGGCTTACCGACTGCTCATTCAGGGACATTATTGTCTCCTCGTTGATATCATTTGAAGCAACAATGATTATGTCCTCGATCCATTTGAGGGTCGGATCTCTGAATGTTAGTTGAAGCTGGGCAGCGTTTAGAGTTTGCGATGACGCACGTCGACGCGCTACCATCGAAAGAGCGCTCCAATGCTATAGATGGGAACGCAGCCATAGACGAAAATCGATCGGCGTCGATTGCCAGTTCGAAGGAATAGAAAAGTACAAGATAGTGTGGTTGAACAACATGTACCCTACTATTCTCCATTACTCCCTCATGGTCAGAGCAGCAGGGGGCAACCTGATCAATATCTGCCTATGGCTGCATTCCCATCTGTGGGATTGCAGCGCTGTTGCAATCGTAGCGCGCCGACGCGCGTTTCAGCGTGTCGACGCGAAGTATGAACGCTTCCTTATATTTACAGCCAAAATCACTGTAATCAAGTCAGGAGTCGTCGGATTAATCTACTCGCCTCGCGGCGTTTGCTGCACTGGCTGTTTTTCAAACTGGCAAGAATAATCGACGCATGAGCCGCACGTTCTACGCCTAATGTCACTGCCCTGCCGCACTAGACGATGTCAACTAAAGATTTCAAAGGCTGTTGACATAATCAATTTGAGGTAGAAGTAGTGGCAACTTTAGGTTACCCACTTCAATCGGGTTAAAGCTACACAAGTAACTCTCCCTAACAACACATACAATCCAGCCACTCTGCGTAATCGGCTTCGGACTTCTTTTGAGAGGTACGCGAGATCTCCGCTGTCGATTCGACAACCACCGGATTTGTAGCCGAGTTCGAAGAGAGCTAACGTCACAGCAACGAAGTTAATAACTCCACTCCTGAAAAAGATAAAGTGCCACAAATGGAATGCTTGAAAGAGCGACAATTGTATGCCACCCCGATTTCACGAGTAATGAGGTGCCGGTAAGTTAGAGCAAAGAATCTTAATCAATTTGCGGTTGGTAGAAAAATGGGGGTGCAGGCCTCCACAACATAATGTCAAATCCACTCATTAAAAAGGGGAAAATTTGGGAAAAGGTGTGCAGAGGTATGTACACATATCAACAGCAGCGGAAAAAAAACTTGGAAGAAGCCCAAGTCGCGCGCTTCTTAATATTTTTACCAACAATTTTCAAACGGCACATGTCAAGTACGCCTAAAAAGCTAATTCAAAAAATAGAGTTGATTGATTAAACTCGTTGCACGGACAGAATTTCAAAGATTTGCGATGAAGTTTGCCGCTTCTATTTGATATTGGATCCGTTTCAAACAGCTAAAAATGGCCGCCTACGCCGAAGAACGCCCCAGCACATTGACGTTTGGTGAAAAGGTGAGGAGCGATACTGTATCAAGAAGCTCGAGGAGGGAAGCTTTTATTCAATGA